CAACATCTGGCATCATCGAGGACCTGGGGAGACCGGACCTTTTAGGAGTCTTTCAGTATTCTGATTTAATCCTTTCTAGGGTCATATGTCAAACATCAATGTGGAAAACCAGTTTTAAAGGAAAATTCTGTGTAATTTCCCTGCTTTATTGGTTGGAAGAAAGTGTTAAGAATGTGTCATTTAACTGCCTTCTGCAATTTTAGCTTCTTAGCTTCCTTGTGTCTTCCATGTAGGGGTGAATGGGAGGAATCTTTCAAACTGTAGAGTTCAACATAGCGCAGGTCTGAGCTTGTCCTATACAATGAAGGTAGATATATTTCCTTACATGAAATAGAAAGCAAGAGCAGTTAAAGGGGTTTGGGTGTGGAATGCCCAATTATGTAAAACAAAAGTTCATGTAATAGTAAAATTCCAACCAACAGCAATTGGCTGGACCTAAACGATGTGGTTTTGTGAAGGTTTATGTGTTTTCAATAGACCCTTAATTAGCCATGTAATCCCATGCAGTAATTACGTTTCATGAGACTGGCTAGTCAAATAAAGATGGTGTTTAGCAACCTGTAGTATATCTGTAGAGAACCACCACGGGCACGAATCTTCATTTTTAAAATAAATGTACTTCAGGGAAGCTAATTGTGAAATTTTCATTAGCATACAACTGAATGTGTAGGATTATGTAGGATTACTGGTTTGCCATACCTGATTTGTGATTACTGGCTGTTCCATGAAATGAAACTGAGGTAAGATGCACCTTTTAAAAATTATTATCAGGTGGTGTGGTATGAATTTAAGGCATGGAATCTGTTTTCTCCCTAACTTGTATGCATGTGAATAGGAATAACTTTGGCTTGAGTCTGGGAAACGTGGAGAGATGTGAGTAACTCCAAAGCACTCTGGCCTTGGTGACACAAAACTCAGCGTGGGTCTTTTTAACCACTTAACTCCCCAGCTGAGTGCTGCCAGGGCATCTGACATAATAAGAGATGACAGGGGAGAGACTGGCACTGCCAGAAAGCTCCTTAAGATGTTTAGTGTGCTGTGGCTTTGTCTTTGCAACTTGAATAAAAAGTTGTGAAATTCTCAAGTAGGCTCAAGAGGTCTTAATTTCTGTTGCAACTTACCTTGGAGAATTAGGCATCCTTTCAAGTATAGTTTGCAATAGGACTGTGGCTTGTTTTCTTTGTGTCCTTACAGTGAGAGCATTGGTTATCAGTCCTCCTGAGGCATAATCGGCTTTTAAAATTTCAAGTCCAAATAGAATTCTTTTACAGAGTGATTGTTCTTAACATGCTGGCTTAAACTGAGAGGAGCTAACTTGGGTGCAGGTAATCAAGATTTAAGTAAGATAGGAGTCTACAAACAACTGAGTGTTTAGACCCACTTATGTTCTTAAATAAAGGTGTCTGTGCTTGGAACTATCCCAGCAGAGCCATTTCTGTGCTTCTTAGCAGTGGAATTGGAATTTAATTTTGCCACTTCAGGGATGAAGACAAACTGAGTAATAGGGAATTATTTGCTTTCCCCAGGGGAGACGATAGCAGGCATCTAGTCCTTATAATAGACTTTAAAGGAGGCAACTCTGGATGGCTCATTTGTGGAGCTGTGTGGACTTGGTGTTTGGGGACTTATATCTGGGGGTGGTAGTGCGTGGAACATCGAGATGTCAGCATCTGATCTGGGAGCAGGGTTCGCATTCTGTGTCTCTCTTCCTCCCTTCAAGAGCTGTCTGGGCCCTAATTACTCTCTTCCTGGGAGCATGGAGGAAAAGCATTTGCCATCTGTTACAAAATTACAATGTTCTTGCCTCTTCATCTTCCTTCTAACAAAGCCTATGACAGTGTGGGCAAAATTGGGAGAGGGGCAGAACAGAGAGAGAGAAATCTGTCAGTGTCCGTGGTCTGCTGTCTGCTTCTCTTCCAATTAAAAGCAAGTGTTACTGATACAACTTAATGAAATTGTACCTGTCAGCCTAATGTGCCATGCTGAAGATGTAAAAAAAATTATCTTTTACAGTAAGTATTTCTCCTTATATGTTCCAAAAAAACCACAAAAAAATACATTAGTGATCATGGAAATAGTAATCTTGAAGCCCCATTGCCTTAAAACCTCAACTTCCAGATTACAAAATTTAACTTTGTAGTAAAGAAGCTATACAGGATATAATTTAATGAGTATAAACTTTGCGTATCACTAAAACAGGTTGGGTCTTAAAAATCCTTTGAACAGTTTTGTTCTAATTTGCTTCCATCAGTATCTTGTGGCTGATAGCCATAGTGAAAAGTCTTTAACTTTGCGTGTCAAACATACATCACAACCTAAGTGTAAACCATTGTTGAAAATCCAATTGATAAGTACTAAGGAAGAGAAATTAAATGTTTCTTTCTCTGTATTGAATATAATGGTGACAAGGTATTCACTTGCTGGTTTATTGTAGGTTTAAAAAAATTTTTTTTTTTTTAAATTACTGTTCTTCCTTTTCTACATTTCTGTTGTGACCTAGCAGCATGTAATGGCTTGTGTTCTTGATGACTACCTTGAATTTGCTTGTCATTTCAGAATACCTGACGGTGTTTTCCCAGATGATTGCGTTCCATGATCCAGAGCTGAGTAACCACCTTAATGAAATTGGGTTTATTCCAGATGTAAGTGCTAAGACTTCCTATAAGTATTTTTCAAAGGAAGTAAAAAATGGAAAATGATGGCACTAGGATGAGATGCCTTTCCAGACTGTTTCAGTAGCAGTTTGACATAAGCGAAACTTTCATATTAATGGACCTTTCTGAGTATGCTGATAAAACAGTAAATTTTTGGTTGTTGTTTTACATACCTCAGTCCTTCCCATTCTGTTGGCATGGTAACTACAATAAAAATACTACTAGTCAGTTATTACAACTTAGAGATTTATTTTAAAAGATGTATATAATTTTATTTTTAGAATGTGGATTAATATACAAAAATTAATGTGGCCATAAATGAATAATAGCAAAGTTTTTGCAAACTACTTAAATGCTGTTGGTTAACACAAAACACGTCTTCTTTGCAAGAAATACAAAAAATATGCACAAGTGATGGTTGATCTGTAGATATGTCAGACCTTGGACGATGCTTGCTTAACAGTGATTTGTTGGAGTCTATCAGAAACGTTAGACAAGTGCGTAACTTGTGTCTAAGTTTAATGCTTTCATTGGAAGAAGTCTGTAAGATAGAGGAACATGAAAACTGAGCATGCAGCCAAAACATAGAGATGGATGGCTATGTTGGAAGAAGCAAAACAAGGCTTTCTTTAGGGCCTCACTTTTAGCTGTCATTGTAAATAGTGAAACTCCTCCTTTGTTTAGAGAGGCATGTATAGTCCAGAAAGCCAAGATAATAAGCTATGAAAATGTTTGTCTCCCTATTATAGCATTATTGAAGTTTATGGCTGATGTTTCTGAAAAGCAGATTTAGGCAAGGCTGTAGAGAGAACATTGTTAATTGATGCGGTCTGTATGATGATATATTTGACACTTAGAAATTTGGTAATTACAAGTCTTTTGTAAGAAGAGATGACGACTGAGAGGTCAAAATGGAAGAACGAAGCTGAAGTCAGGAGGAGCCATTGTTTGAGAAATATGTTACATAAGAAGTTTATATGTATTTCTACTGTAAACAATATAAAGTTTATTTTATCAGAAAAGCCTTATGCTTATTAGGAAATGCTTTAAATTGAAGCAACAAGGCCAAGCCTCTGAAAGTCATTTGTTGTACACAATTCCTGGGTGAATTTATATGTCTTTGGGACTGGCAGATAGTCATCATCACTGTTTACAAAGATTGTAATGGAAAAGCAAATATATGTTGTCATTTGTAGTAGTGTTTTTAATTTAATAATTTTGTTTATGAGTGATACAGTTTAAAAGATACTGTGGTGTTAAAATGAGCAGAGAGAAAGCCAGTTTATCACTTTATAGAGAGAGATGTTTGAGAAGGCCACGTATATTGCTGATGACCCACATCTGAAGAGGGCAGGTAGGAGGAAGATGAAGGGAAGACAGGGAGAAGGGACAACATTCATTTGTAGAAAGCCTAAATATCTGGGGGGATGAAGAGCATGGGTAACAGCAACGTTGAAATTCCTGAGGGAGAATCAATTTTGTAGCGTCACTATGTAAGCGCACTTGATATTTATTTGTTAAAGGCTGTGGATGACCAAAGCAATTCCTCTGTGTATTTATCCAGGACACTAGTTCCCACCGAAGAGGTAGAGATGTAATTTCTCTGATCATCTTACAGGTCCCCATTTCTGCTACTAACCTGTATGAGAGGTCTGTAGCAAACCATCTTGGGTGTTGGCTGATCTTTCAGCAGCTCCTAGTGCCTGCTTATATGGTTATAATTCTCCATTGAAAACATTCAAGGTGCAAGTCAGATGTAATAGTTTAAAATCACCTGCTTTGTTGGACAGCACATAGTCGAATGTGAGCCTTGTCTCTAAGTGTTACAGTCTAGGGATGATGAGGTAATGTAGTAAATAATTACAACTTGGAGGTGTATTTTTTTTTTTTTTAGAAAAAACCCTTGCATTGCATACAAATGATAGTTCTGAAATTAACACTAACCTCTGAAGTGAGGCTGTACTTTCTAAATCGTCTGTCTCATTTTATTTTTTTTACTAAATATATATAAAAATATAAGTTGTTCTGCTTTTTTAGATTAGTGAGAGAGGTGATTTTTATACCTGTAACAAGACAGCACAGGATCCGTCAAGGTGAAGGATATGCCCTGTAGTAATGAGATCTGAACAGGAGTTTCGTGCTTGAGTACTAATCCTGTCAAAGTAAACCCTGATTAATCTTTCATCATTGAAACGCAGGCTCCACTGCAGGAAAGATTGTGTTTCCTGGCACCCTTCTCATTTGCTTCGGGTCACGTAGCTCTCGGAATATTGAACATTGCTGAAGCTTGAGTAGTTGTGAATATTGTTAGCTGATGTGCCTGGATTAAGCACATTGCTGTGGATATGTGATTTACATGTAAATAGAGGGATATATATGGTGAATTTTACAGTCCTTTGCTCACTTTCCCAAAGTTTATAGTCACCCCCGCCCTGTATAATGCTTTGAAACGCATTCTATATTTTACTGAATAATTCTGACATCAACCACAGACAATTTAGAACTGAAAAAAAACAAGGAAGTGTGCTACATTACTAAAAAGGTAACTATAGCCATAAATTATTCTAAAGAGCTTTCAGCTGCAAATTATGGAAGCTAGACACAGTTGTCAGCTAGCCATTAACAGAGATGACAAAGCTGGCTGCAGTTACTTAATGTCATTGTGCTGGAGCTGCTGTCATAGGTAGATACTGTAGCTTGGTTTTGGCGATATGCAGGAGGTCTAGGTAGTAGGGCATCTAACTGAGAATTAAAAATCCTGCGATTGAAGTACTTTGTCTCTGTTTGTTCTGTTACGCGATTACCTAGTGGTGAATCTGGAGGAGAAGTTTCTTGCTGGTATTTTTATCCTGTGAGGAAGGTGATCATTTTTCAAATTTTGTTTAGTAGGCTCATATAGGTTGGTAGAATCTAATATTAAAAATTGGACTCAGTCTGCATTCTCTTTGCATCCCCAGTCATGAAAACATTTTTGCACCTTTCTCTGTAGCATTTAAATATATGATTAATTGTCTAGGCACCATATAAGCTTGAAGTTAAGTACAAAGATAGAACATGAAGATCAGGGTTTTATAGAATAGTCTATTTAGTTTGGAAGCGACCTACAATGATCATCTAGTCCAACTGCCTGGCCAATTCAGGGCTGACCAAGTTAAAGCATGTTGTTAAGGGCATTGTCCAAATGCCTCAAACGCTGACAGGCTTGGGGCATTGACCACCTCTCTAGGAAGCCTGTTCCAGTGTTTGACCACCCTCTCGTTAAAGAAATGCTTCCTAATGTGCAGTCTGAACCTCCCCGATGAGTCTGAACCTCCCCAATGCAGCTTTGAGCCATTCTCATGCGTCCTACAGCTGGATACCAGGGAGAAGAGATCAGTACCTCCCTCTCCCTCAGGGTGCTGCGGAGAATAAAAAGAAATTTTTCTTAACAAATGAAAATTAAAACAAATGCAGCAGTTGGGAGGCAGCCTTGTTATGTGAACTCAACAAAATAAAATTCTGGTTTATTGCTGGACAACATAGTTTCAAACAGGACAAAAAAAAAGAAAAAATAAACAGCAACTTCATAGACAGAAAAAAACCCAAACCAAACCTAAAAAACGACAACAAAAAAAATCCAACCTTTTCATCTTTGGCCTTGCTATCTCATACAAACCTTGATCTATGGTACAACTAAAATACATAAAGAAAAAAAGTTACTGGAATGGGTTTAGGCCTGAAAATTCTACAAGTAAAGTCAGAGACGGGTAACGAGAGATACACTTCAGAGCCCCCCTTTTGGTCAATCTGAGATCACTTAGAAATGGTGGACCTCCTAACAATATGTACAAAAATATACGATTTAAATAAAAAATGCAAACAAATTCTCCTATAAGGTAGATTTTAGAAAGAAAACAGGGCCTTGAAGTTCTTGGTGGAATGGGGGGGGGGGTGTCTCTCCCTGCTAAAGGGTGAATTCTTTTGTGTGTTCATTGAGTGGCAGTGCAGAGGGGCTGGGGCGGGTGTTCACTCTACTTGGTGAGGATGACTGTGGTGGAGGGAGGAGGAGGGGGGAGGGTGGTCCTGAGGGTGAAAAGGGTTCCTTTTAGCTGACGATCATTCTTTCATTCTTTGTTTGACCACTTTTCTATGTAGCCACATCAAATGGTCTTTTAGTTTAGTAAGCTTGGAAGGAAAGACTGGATTGCTTAACAGACCTTCACTATCTGGGATTGTTACCAGACAATTCAGTAAGAAAAGAAATATGGTAACTTTTCTGAATTCCTTCTGTTGTCATTTAAGCTAGTGCCTGCCTAAAGTGTGTAGAAAGCAGGTTAGCGTGGCAGACAAACTATCTTACAACTGTCTGATGCAGGATTTTTAGCATGTTTGCCTTAAGCAAATGAGCTACTTGCTGTTGGAGGTAGAATACTTGCCCACGTTGCCATTGATGGTGGTAGTTCCTGTATTCCTCTAAGTGTGACTTCAGCTTTGAGAAGGAAGGGCTCCGACATAAAAAGTCTCAAACACTGAAAACAGCGTGAAATACATGCTATAGTATAGGGGGTTTTGTTCTATATTTTTTTATATATTTTATATATTTTTATATAATAAAAAATTTTTGTTTGTCCATCTATAAATTATTTCTATAATGCTGAAGATATGACAGTTTACCAGTTTAAAATTACACGCTATGTTGAATGACAGATGGTCAGGTGAGGATTCTTCTATAAAAGATTGCAAGACTAATGATTACTCCTATTGCATTTGTCATCTTTAAAACTGTGGGTATTTAACCTTGATCTCAGCTCGGTAATTCTATGAGGTGTGGAGGGTGAACTATTAAAGATTTTTGAATTTTCTTAAGAGTTTTTGGCTAAACTTGTGTTACATACATGCATAACAAACAAGAACTTGTGAAATATGTTGGCATTTTTGATGTTTTGAAAACTCAGACCTTCTGTTTTAAATTATTCATTTTCATTATTCTGCAACGAGGTGCATAGCTTCACTGTAGCTGCCTTATGTTCATGAGGTGCACCTGGATCATACAAGACAGCCACTTTATTCTTACAGACTTTTCACAGCGAAAGAAGCTTGTGTATGACTTTTAATACTCTCTACCATCCACAGAACAAACATTAACACTCATTTTCACCTTGCTATTCCTTCTAAAATATCTTCAGAATCAAAATCCCCTGAGCCTAAATTTCTAATTGTCTTTACAACTGAAATCTCAATCTTCCATATGCACGAATGTGTAAAGCTTTCATCTTCTGGAGGAAGATAATTCGAATAATGAAGCAATCCGAGCAGTAATAACAGGCAATAACAAAATCTTCACAGGAAAGGCTTTCATCAAGATTTGAGCCAATATCTCGTAAGAGCTTTGAATGTCTAATGGAAGATGCAGTCTTCTCAAAATATGCCCATCTAACTATGGTCAAGTAAATATCTTCACCCTGTTGAAAAACAATGAACTGCATCTCCAAACTCAGGTACTGAGCAGAATTTGTCATAGCAGAGCACTAGTGGAAAGGAAACTTTAGCTAAGGATAGTAGAAAGATGGAGAATGAAACCAAGCCTATAGACAAGAGATTTAAATTGTAACTACAAAAACCTGTGGATTTATTCAAATTGTTTGAACAGGAACTGATGTTAGGGGTCTGCTATGTTCTTCATATGCATAAGTAGTGCCCAAGTCCTCACTTAAAAGCACAAAAGAGCTTGTGTTTTACTAGTGAAGCAAAGTGATAATTATGGCATTGCTGATCTCAAGCTCAGTCAAAAAAATGAGGTATTAGTTTTACAGGCTCTTATTTTAGTGTGACTTATTCTCAGGCTGTTTCAGCAGTTCAAACACTACTCTTTTTTAAACATTCGGTATGCTTCCCAGCTACGGAGAGTTAAGTGTCAATAAAAAGCACAACTCCATTCATTATGTTTCAGAGTTCACTAGTGAAGAGTTGAAAACCATTAACAGCAGCTCGTTAGTGCCGAAGCGTGGCACAATGCTGTTCCAGCCGGCGGTTGCTAGAGGGCAGCATTTACTAATAATACGCTAAAAGTGCAGTCATTTAAATAAAAGAATTTGATAGCTTATTTGAGGGCTTCGAGTCAGTGCAGTTCCTTTTGTCTGTGTTTTTCACTTTAACTTGCATGGTGGAATAATACCACCAGCACTGTGACTTTTCTTTGCTTGCTTACTAATAGTAATCGTTATCTCTTCAGGTTTACTAAGACCTCCTTGTCTTAAAATGTATTTATGAAAATCAGAGGGAAAAAACCCTTCAATAAAAACTTGCCTGATACCTTCTACTTAAATAGTTTGGCCTACTTTTCATGTCCCTGTTGATAGGTTTGATGAGGATAGTGTGGAGCAAAGCGGTGCCTTGACTTGTGGTTGCCTTTTCATAATCTGTTTCGTGTTTCAAATATTGTATATTTTCTTGTACATGTCCACGTAGATGCATACAAGACAGAGGTGTTTGTGAAATTAGGAGAAAATGTGGATCTGCTTTAGTAAAACATTTTGATCAAATGTATGAAAAGGAGGGAATAATTACTTTTAAATACCAAGGAATTAACTTTGTTCAAAACAACATCCACATAATATGTACCTCCAAGCAAAGAGGAGCCTCAGGCTGTTAGGAATACTTCTTTTCCTACTGCATGGGAAGCAAGATATTGCATACAAGCAAGCAGGTAAACAGGTGTTAGCTGATCACAACCACTGCAGGGGATATTTCATGGAACAGGGTATGTTGTTATTCAGTAGGGGGCCATCTATTGAAGGCATGACAAAGATATACTTGGGGAAACAGTATAAATGTATTATAAGATGAAAATAGTGATGTAAATGGATTTGTTTTGGTTTTTGAACCTTTAAAATCAATTGGTGGGCTGAAAGCCAAGCTTTATAAAGCCTCCTGAATATGGAAATTGGTGAATAGTCTGGTCATTGCAGCTTTTTTAGTTTTATAGACAATATGGTTCAGGTACTATCAGATGCTCAGATGAAGACTTAGGAATAAAATTTAGAGAGGGCTGTTCTAAAGAGGTTTTCAGCAAATGAGTGCATCATTTAGTTAGTGCCCTAACCCGGTTAAGAGTTTATGGAATAAGTAGTTATTTATTAACATAATATCAATTATGCTTTCTTCTTCTCGTTTGCTTACTTCCAGGGAAAGCTTAATAGGAGGACTAATTTGCACTTTTTATGAGCTAAAAAGTAATATATTAAGCTTTATGTCTAACTGTAAATCTTCAGAAGTGGAAAACAGAGCACATGAGCTATACAACTGACTAAAATTTAACAAGGATCATCTCGCTCTTGCATTCCTAATTTGTCAGGACTTTCCATGCAGTTCAGTTTTCAAGAAAATAAATTCTTTTGCCTTCAACATGCTAAATACTTAATTGAAAATTAAGAAACTTTTAAGGTGTCATTAACACTTAGCTCTTCTAATACATACTGAATTTTGTCTGTATGATGTCGTGAGTATGAAAATTTGGAGAAATTGAAGGTTTTCTGTAGCCATTGCAACAGCACAAGGTCTTAGACAGTCTAGTAGTAGTGTAAGTGCTGAAGCAGCTTCAAATTCTTTAGATGACTCCTGCCTTTAAAGGTCTCAGTAGAAAAACATAAATGCTTAAGGTGTTAGTAACTGACACTATGTGCTTTTGAGAATTAAACTGTTCTTCTTTCCTTTTGCTAACAAGTATATACTTTTTAATAAATACCCACATAGGAGAAAAAGGTAGATATGGTTAATTTTTCTGTTAGAAATTGTGATTTGCACTTTTAGTTATTTACACAGAACCAGAGCTTTTTTCATAGTCAAAAAGATCTATTGAATGAAGCTGTTTTATGCTTGTTCAGGCATCCTTCACTAATTTTCACTTAGCAGTATATATATGTAAGGTGAGAACTGTGACAGTTTAATAGAGCAGTTTTTGAGTTCCTTAAGACTTTCGGGGTTATTTTTTGCAAACATAAACCTCGTGAGGGTTGTGGTTGGTTTTGTTATTGTTTTCAATACAGTATCACAAACTAGTAATTTGAAAGAGGGGAGAATGGAAAAGCTTCTCTAAGGGACTAAAAGTTGTGTGATAGTGGTTCTACCATTGCAGTTATTTCCCATTTTAAATACATTCATGTCAAGCTAGGCAACATTTAATGTGGTAGACAATTGTCACAAATAACTTCAGCTCTTAAAATTTTTTTTTGTTCTCTTCCCCCATTGCCACCTTTTGCAGCTTTACGCTATTCCTTGGTTTCTTACAATGTTTACACGTGAGTATGCATTCTTTTTCTCTGATTAAATGTCCTTGTATTTCTCAAGCATAATTTTCCCCACTTTTTCAGCTAAAGCCATCCTCATTGGTGTGATGTGTCTATCATTTAGTAGGTCGCTTGTAATTTGCAAGGAAGCGTGTTGTGGTTTGAGTCTCAACAGTGCCTGTCGCATTCTTTCTGCCTGTATTTGACAATAATTAGCGTTTTCTTTTTTTTTAAGTATATTAAATTTAAACTGGATAATTTTACACATGCAGTATTTCAGGAGTGTGCAAAGGGAGCTGTTGTCTACTGGGAAAAGATAGAACAATAGTTTAAAAGAGCTTTTTTAAAAAAAAAACAAAAAAAAAACAAAAAACAAAAACAAAAACCAAACCAACCCCTTCACCACCTTCCCCTGTCCTCACCCAAATAATGTAAGAAAGAGAGTAGCTTTGTTTTTGAAGACCAACAAAACAAGGGGTTTTTATTGCAGTTTGACACATTGTTACTCTGCTAGCACTGGTTTGCTATCATATTTGTGCATGTATGTTAGGAACAAAAAGAGCTTTATAATTTGGTGAGCTTTTAGTGAAAGAGGACAAAGCTAATAAAGCAAGTCTAGAAAGCAATTCAAAATCTTCTCAAAGATCTCTGATTTTTTTCATTTCAAGTCAACAGTGGCAGACTTTGAATTAAAAAAAAAATAGATGAAAAAGTTGCTGAATTATTTCTCTGATTTCTCTGATTGTATGCTTCTAGCTTTTTTTTAATTGTGCTTGTTCATTATGCAGATGTCTTTCCTTTGCACAAAATTTTTCACCTGTGGGATACGTTACTACTTGGAAATTCCTCCTTCCCGTTCTGTATTGGAGTTGCAATACTTCAACAACTGAGGGATCGTCTTCTGGCTAATGGATTCAATGAATGCATTCTCCTTTTTTCAGACTTGCCAGGTACAGAAAAAAAACTATTTCTTCCCTCTTTCTGTGTCTTCCCCAGTGTGTTGCTGAAGAAAGTATGTGCTTGCATGTGAATATATACTCAAATCTTATATACATTTTGAAATCATGGTAGGTTTAGGCAAACTCACTGTCAGAGCATGTAGATCTTAACTACAGCTTGATGAAGTTAGTAGAAGTCTTTTTACTGTCATCAGCAAGAAGTATGTGAGCTTGTTATTATTTCCAGGTGAAGGCTAGAGTACTTTCTTGTGAAATTTAGAACGATTTTAAATAATTCATAAGCAACTGTGTGTAGACATGCCACGTATAGATACAATGCAGTTGATAGGGACTTCTTAGTGAAAAAAATGTTGTGATGTTCTGAACGGTGCTTTTCCTCTTTGATGCTGGTGCTAGCCTGTTTTCCTTTCAAAAATAACTTTTGCTATGGAAGCAATTAATGTCAAAGAATTAAGGAAAGCAGTATAGAAGCCCTTGGAATTGCTCTGTGTTAAATCAGTTTCCATTTGAAATGTGAAGCTTTCAAAAGAAGCCTCAATATTGGATCAGAGGCTGCATGACTCTTATGCAGAAGTTCTGTGTTCTTCTTTGGTGGGAGGCTGTTGACCTATTCATACAAGCAAGTGTTGCATCTTCTAAAAAAAAAAAGTGCAGTTAACTATAAAGTTTGGGTCTTATGCATAGAATGCATTTGAACTGAGTAAGCCTTGTTAATTGAAACATGTGTTTCCGTTTGTGAGGGACTAATATTTACATAACACATGAATTGGAAGGCTACTGCACCCAGAACTTACTTATATTCTTGTATTAATTCCCTCTCTCCGACACAGGATCTTACTAACATAATCTAGCTGTTGGTTAAGAGGTGACACTGTCTTAATTGTGTGGCTTTTTCCACACAAGATGAGGAGGGACTCTACCAGGGGGTGTAGTGAGGTAATGGTTTCAAACTGAATAGAGGGTAGGTTTAGATTAGCTATGAGGAAGAAACTCTTTCCTGTGAGGATGGTGAGGCACTGGAAGAGATTACCCAGAGAAGCTGTGCCTGCCCCCTCCCTGGCAGTGTTCAAGGCCAGGCTGGATGGGGCTTTGAGAAACCTGGTCTAGTGAAAGGTGTCCCTGCCCATGGCAGGGAGTTGGAACTAGATGGTCTTTGAGGTCCTTTCCAACCCAAACCATTCTATCATTCTATGATTTCATAATAATTATGGATTTAGTGGGCTCTATTTGAACACCATGTGTGCAATTCAATAATTCACAATTCATTTAAACAGAAGTAATTCTTTTTCAGAAGACCTGAATGAGAGAATCAAAATTGGAAGAGCATTTAAGCTTAAAAGCTCTTGTTAAGTGTGACAGTCTCCACAACTGCAGAGTTTACAGAGGTTAGCAGTAGTCTAGGATATGGCAGCAAGCAGGCTGAGACCAAGTTCATAGTTGTGTAAATCAGTCTCTCAGAAGTCTAGTGAGTTCTCATAGATGAAGCCTGGTGATTTCTCTAAATATTATTGTCACAAATTCTCTCTCTGTATACCCTTGAACATGTGTCCAGATTTCAAAACTTTGCTTTTCTGCTACTGTGCAGTTTAGTATGTACAATGAAATTGCTACTGTATTTTTCCATTTTTAAGAAATTTAATTAGACCATTCCTTATGGTGTGGAGTTTTTTTCATTTTCAGTCTATATGCTTAGTCATTTCAAATGCCTTTATTAACTTTTGCTGGATATCTTTAGATGGTCTGAAAGGTGAGTGCTAAACTAAAAGATTGTCTCTCTTCCCCTTCCCTCCTCCCCAATCTATTAGCTGTATGTCTTAGTTAAATATAGATTCATTAATATTTAACTGATTTTCTTGCCTAAGGTCATTTCTCCCTGTTTTTTTTTCCTTGAGTGGTTCTAAATTATATATTCTAATTTATCTTGAACCCAGCTGATTTACTGACAGTTGAAGTACTTTATGCTGAGGTCATGTGTAAGAACACATTAGTTCTCATAATACAGATCTGTTTAATAATATTAAATCACTAAAATATCTTGTGTTATAATGTACCTGCTTTCTGCTGATTATAGTTTATGAAAACTTTGTTGATACGCATAGGAAATGTTTTGGTAGAATGATGTTTCTGCAAAGAAACACCGATTTCTGAAAAGATTTATTACTTTTTTTTAATGTTGGTGATGTCTGAAATATTTTGGATGTCAACAGTGGCGCAATTTGAATATTTTAAGATTAATCCGAAGCATATTATAAACTGATGACTAAGGGGAAAAAAAGAATGAGGACGGAAGACAGTCCTAATGTGATTTAAAAGTTTTAATGTTATTGGTCTAGCTGAGAGTTCTGTAACCAGTAACTTCTTTGAACATATAATTATCATAGCCTTGTGCCTTCTTTTTCTGATTAAGAAGTATTGACTGACTATGGGTTTTGTCACCTCTGTCTTCCAAACAGGACTTCTGTTATTTTGGTTAAAATAAATTGTGTGCCATACCTGAGAATTTTCTGAAAGTAATTTACAAACAACCTTCACCTGAAACTGGGTCACCCAGAGGAGGAGATTATGTTGTTCAAGACATCTGCAATAATTTCAATTTAAAATCAATTGTTGCTCAACAGCCTGAAACTCCCATGGCTTTTAAGCTTTCTGTGTGCTGAAATGGCTTATCTCAGGCTGCCAGTGAAAACGACTTGCTTTCCAGACTGATAAAGCTATTTTACTACAGTCTTGCAACTTTTTAAGACTTCTTGGTTTTGCAGCAGCTATTTCTAAAAGTGTATATTTTAAGTTAAAAAAAAATTAAGTTTTTTTAAATGTATATTTAAAGTTAAAAAAAAAAAAACAACGCTGCTTTATTTCCAGGTCACTGAGTATAACACAGTTTCAGTTACTGTTTAAAAAAGTTAATGATGTGAGGAAAAAGAAGGGTCACAGTGCCATTATTGATTACTTCATTCGGAAGAGACTTACCAATACTTGTCTCAAAGCTTTGGCCACATTTTTTCTATAAAACAAATACAATTGGGCATTATGTGCTGTTTTCAGGAGCTCTCTTGGAAATTTTAATTTGTTTTTATAAAGTTTTAACAATGTTCTAGCCTATTAGGAAATCTATTTGAAGTATTTGACAAAATAATTGGTTAATTAAGAATCCTGGAAAATCCTTTCGCTGTAGCAACAGATGTCCTAGTTCATTCCTTGTGGGGCTGTATAAAGGGGACATATAATCAGCTGCTAAAACTTAAATTAGATTGTTTAGGGAGTTACTACCCCAAGGTGGAGTTTTTTTATTTTCCTTCATTTGACTTCCATATTTTTTTCCCTTGTGTTTGAGGAGCTCCGTTAAGTGTGAACTTTATTTGAACAATAAAAATACCAGAAAAGATTTAGGAGGCACTATTTGAGACAGACAAGCAAAACCAACCCTGAATCATTGCCAATACTTTATGTGTCGTTTTGAGATTTAGTAAATTTCATCCTATTTGGGTGATGCAGGAAGAGCAAACCCAGTATGCATTACCCTTGTTTTCCCTTTATTGAAGTCTGTCACATAGCAGGAGAATGTGGCAGGAAAATGAGGGTGATAAGGGTGGTACTACTATGATGTGATTCCTGAGGTAACAACAACAGAGGCAGGACTCTGCTTTCAGACAAGTTCTGTCTTGTACTAAGCCAGTTTGGATATGTCTGCATTGTATGTATCAGCAAATTTACAACCTGGAAGGCTCTCGTGTTGAAGGCCAACTTTATAAGTAACTTTATTTTAAAACTTGCAGTTTTGCTTATAGTTTAGTCTTTAATATCTTGCTGTAAGTTTATGTGATAATGTGACGTGCATTATGCAACTCAGATGTTATGATTATTGTAGCTTGACTTAGTAATAAGTGTGCTACCCAATGTGCAAGTAGTACAAAGTCACTAGCACCTTTTGTTAGGAAACAAACCTAGGAAGGAAGCATCCAGATATGTACAGCTCTTTGCAAACAGCTGAAGGATCCCATAGACCAATTCACTCCCACCCAGAATGGATGCAGTATAGGGCCTGGCAAACAGATCTTTCTCCAAAGATCCATGCTAATATCGTCATACAGGACGATGACATACAGAGTTTCGTTATAGCCTTTAAAGGGGATAGGACAACTAACAAAAAGATGGGGACAGATGCTGTTAGAGAATAGGTAAACACTAAGCCTAGACATGAGATAAAACATACTTTCAATAAGCCTTCTAGGTTAGTTCACACAATAACCTCTTTTGCAATTTTGGAGCGAGAGAAGGGTTCATTCTTTTAATGCTGTGTACTGTAGGAAGGTGTCTTTTTGCTGACTCCAGGCTAGTCGGTGCTTCCAAAGGAAAAACCTCAGCCTCAGATAGGAAGTCCAGAAAGACTGGCTGTGGAAAAGCAATCCAGTGCAATGAGGAGCTACAGTAAAACTGTTGAATTGGAAAATTTAGTGTGTTCTACTTTGAGACCCAGGCATGTAGCTTTAAGATGCAACATGTAGTCTAGCTATCATCAAACTACAAAAATGATTCTCCAAGGAACACATTTTCTCTAATGTGGGAGAAACAATTATATCTCTTGCCACTATAGTGACGTGCCAAAATGCTGGATCCCATGATGATGAAAGCCATAGAAATGCTTAGAAGGATTACATCCATCTCAGAAATGGACTAAAGATTAAAAAATAGTGGAAATTCTACATTAAGATTGTATGCTGCAGTTTTGAACGATGTATTTCTGCTGACAGCCAGCAGAATTAGACACACATCAGAGAACTCTAGTTTAGATATGTATCTGAACCGAGGTAGCTACCATTTTACTTTCCGTTGTTTTTCTTCCTGAAAATCCTTTGTCCGCCCACATCTGTTTTTCAAATGCTTTTATTATGCCAGAATTTCTGGTGGTTCAGCATTTAGTTAATTAAAATTTGGTAGGAGAAAGAAATGGCAGCTGGCCACCAAGCCCACGCTGAGTTTGTGGGTGTTTG